TGGTGTGCCATTTGCTAAGACCACTGGAAAAGAGCAGTATTAGGGTGGGAGTGTCCTGATTTTCCGGGCACCATCTGTCATGGCTTCCCTTGGCTAGGAAAGGGAATTTCCCAACTGCTTGTGATTCCAGGGTGAGGCAATGCCCCGCCCTGCTTCAGCTCACATTCCGTGGGCTGCACCCACTGTCCAACTAGCCCCAGTGAGATGAACCTGATACTTCAGTTGGAAATGCAGAAATCAGCTGTCTTCTGCGTTGTGCACACTGGGAGCTGTAGACTGGAGCTGTTCCTATTTGGCCATCTTGGAACCTCCCCTGAATTTCTACTTTTCTTCATGCATTGCTTTTCTTATTTTGTTGAATTGTCTATCTGCATTTTCTTGCATCTTGCTGAGTTTGCTTAACATAATTTTTTTGAATTCCTTTTTATAAAATTCATAGATCTCCATTACTTCATGTTCATTTATTGGATAATTACTGATAATTATTATTCTTTTGGTGATGTCATATTCTCTTGTTTTTTCTTGTTTCCTGTGCTCTTGTGTTTATGTTTGTGCATTTAATGGAGCAGTTACTTTTTTCAGAACTTAAAGGCTGACTTCAGTGGGAAAAGACTCTCAGCTGCTGATGATTGCAAGGTCACAGGTTGGGTGCAATGCAGTGACTCTGGTTTAGCATGGGAAGCAGCAGTGTAGTCTCCAGGAAGCTCCAGGACACAAACTTTTAGAGTGGCTGTGCATCTGGGCTCATGAACTTAAGGAAATACTGTGACACCTACATCCTTGGGAGCAGATCTACTCATTGAGGTGTGGGCCTGCACAGAACACACAGAGAGCTAGAGTCTATGAATCTGTGGCATGCTTCAGAAATTTGTGCTGGAGAAATAGGCTGCAGCTGTGGCTTGAATGCTAAAGGTCCCTGGAAAGGTGAGGTGCCATATCAGCTTAATTCCAGGGGTACAGAATGCCCTGGCAGCAAAGCCCCAGAAATTTTGGCCCAAGGCAAAAACCCAGGTCCCAAGATGTAGGATGCAGCAATAAATTGAGCCCTAGGAATATTGCTTTTGGGCAGCAGCTTGACCATGGAGACATAGAGCAACAGCAACACAGACTCAAAGATGGTGTGGTAGGTACTATGGCATCCTAGGCCCCACACTCAAAGATGGTGTGGTACTATGGTAACACGGGCCCAGAAATGGTGAAGTGCAGTGGCTACTCAGGTAAAGTTGCGATGCAAAACATAGAATTGTCTCCTTCTCTGGGACAAGTGGACAGTGTGAACTCCGTCTGCGCAGCTTTTTCAGTTGGGCTTAGCATTGATAAAGACTGTAGAGATCCCCAGTGGTGAAGGCTCCAGGTATTGTGTCAGTGGGGTCCTCTTGCTCACCTTTGTCCCATGGGGGAAATATCCCTCTGAGGTGTTCCCTCTTAGCACCATGCTGCTCTTGCTGGGGGATGAGGTGATTCAGGCAAAGTGTTTTCTATCCCTTTCTATGGGGTCTTCCTTAGTTTCTATGCTACCCAGAGTTTCTGCTACTTTTTGCATTACTCAGGAGTTATTCCATAGCTATTTCCATTGATATTTATTTCTTCACTTGTTGTTGTTTTTTGTTTGTGATTTAGAGGAAGATGAGTGTTGGGACTGCCTAGTCCATCATCTTGCTGACATCAGTTTTCCTGTGAGATTGATGTTGGATTATTATATTTCACCATTGCAGATACCATATGCTAAAATACAGTTCATTCTAGCCTTGTGTGTGGTGTCCATTTGAACAAAAATCTGTTCTTTTGATATTTAAAAATCCATACTTTTCCCATAACCTTATAGTTTATAAATCTGGGGTCATAATTAAGAAAATCTCTTTACCACAGGGTTATAATTCTCTAATGTTGGAACCTATTGACTTAGTGGTATTTTTTTTTCATTTATATATGAGCTGCCAATCCATCCTCAGTAGGGCAGAGTTTTAACATTATTTTTCCCTATATAGTGATTCAGTTCTCCCAGCACCATCTAGTAAATAATTCGTCCTTTCCTCACTAATATATAGGACTATCTTCATCATATACTAAGTTGCCAGTTATAAATGAGTCAGATTTTAAGATATTTATACTCCTTTTTCCTCATTAGTTTATAGGACTATCTTCACGATATACTGTTGCCACTTATAAATGGGTCACTTTTTAAGATCTTTATACTCTTATCAAGAATCTGCATTTTTTCACTCTAGTCTGTCCATTGCTATTTAAATATATTACTTTTTATTACTATGACTTTTTCATATGTCCGTGGCTGATAGAAACAATTTTTCTTCTTTGCTTTTAGTTTGCAAATTAAATTAGGTCTTTGTGAAAATTTTATTTTTCTATGTCACATTTTAGAAAACTTGTCAAAATCTTCAAAAATGTTGAAGGAAATGTTAAATTCCCAGGTGTTTCAAGATTTGAAAAAAACAATTCTGCAATGCCACTCAACATTTATTTAGCACTTTGAAAATTGGAGTAACATGTGAGGAACACTTGCCATGGGCTAAACACTGTTCCAGATAATTTACATAATTTATTACATGCGTTTCTCATAGAAACTCCATGATAACTTCATGTGAGCAGCACTATTTTAAAGGACATGCAGAAAGTTAAACTACTTTGCCAAGGTCACTTTCTTAGTGAGTATCAAACTTGGTATTCAATCCAGTCAGTTTAATTCCAGCGTAAGTTCTTAGCCATCGAATATCTTTTTCAGGTAATTAAACATTAATTGAACCTTGCAACCCTGTAGAGTAGGTTCTGCTTTCTTCAGGAAATTCATTGTGAACATGTTCACACTTTCTGTGTCCCTGATGGAAGTTATAGCTTTTTTTCTTGGAACTCTCATGACGCTTTGTCCACGTTGCTCTCTGGTGCAGCAATGGTGGAAAATTTCTTTGGGGCCAGCAGTTCACAGAGGAAAGATTTGAAATTTCCCCTTTCATAACAGCTTTGGGGTAAATAGAATACATAACAGAAAACACCCTCAGGGCTGGACACAGTGGCTCATGCCTGTAGTCCCAGCACTTTGGGAGGCCAAAGCAGATGGATCACCTGAGGTCAGGAGTTTAAGACCATCCTGGCCAACATGGTGAAACCGTATCTCTACAAAAAATACAAAAAATTAGCTGGTGGGTGCCTGTAATCCCAGCTACTGGGGAGGCTGAGGCAAGAGAATCAATTGAATCCTGGAGGCAGAGGTTGCAATGAGCCAAGATCACACCCCTGCACTCCAGCCTGGGCATCAAGAGCAAAACCCTGTCTCAAAAATAAAGAAAAAGAAGAAGAAAGGAAACACCCTCAAGTTGGCTTGGCTCCGCTTGAGCTTGATACAGATTCAGTGGCAAGAATTTTAATGTTTAAATTTTATTGGTTATAAGGACACACACAAAAAAGAAGAAATGCTTGCCCCAAACAAAACAGTTTATTTATCTTTAGGAATTCGATTTTTGTTAGTTATGGATATATTTCTCTGTGTCCTATTATTAGCTGCACTGAGGACAACCCCATAACTGCCTAAATTGTGTGCAAATGGGGATATTGTCATTGCCTTCAATTTCTCTTCCCTTTTCTCTGTGAGGCTACATTACATGCTTTGGGCTGGCAGAAATAGTTATTGACATGCTCATGAAATATAAGTTGGTCTTGTTTTTATAACAACAAATGTCAAAAAAGTATTCAATTACTTTCACTAAGCTCTGAAAGGACAAAAAATTAGAGTAAGTGACTAAAGTTAGGACACATAAAGTCTTTGGTGATCACATTTCAGCAGCACACCAATTCATAAGTTAGCTCTTAACATAATAGACCATATGTTTAATTAGGTCTAGACTAATAGACTCTCATAGACTGTGAGCTGCATCTGGGCCTGTTGAGGTTTGTCTCCATGTTGCACATAATCAGCAAACTTAAATTCCACCTTCCTGACATCTCAATAAGAATATAAAATGTGGCAGGGCGCGGTGGCTCAAGCCTGTAATCCCAGCACTTTGGGAGGCTGAGGTGGGTGGATCACGAGGTCGGGAGTTCAAGACCAGCCTGGTCAAGATGGTGAAGCCCCATCTCTAATAAAAACACAAAAATTTGCTGGGCGTGGTGGTGGGCGCCTGCAATCCGAGCTACTCAGGATTCTGAGGCAGAGAATTGCTTGAACCCAGGAGCAGAGGTTGCAGTGAGCCGAGATGGTGCCACTGCACTCCAGCCTAGGTTACAGAGCCAGACTCCATCTCAATAAATAAATAAATAAATAAATAAATAAATAAATAAAGAATATAAAATCCGGGAGATAATGTTCACAATAAAATGTTAAATGAAGCAAGCAGAATGTACATTTGTAATTACTGGAGGTTTCTAATTATATGTGTGTGTGTGTGTGTGTGTGTGTATTTCTTTATATATACACACATTTCTAAACATATGAATAATGATATGGAAAAAATTTAGGTAGAAATACATCAAAATGAAATGGTGACTAACTCTGGATGTTGGAGTTATAAGTTATTTCAACTTATTTTATTACTCTCTTTTTATTGACAAATTTTATTTATTGAACATTAAAGTAGAAATGACTGACTGTTGACCAAAATACATTATTCCCATTTCATAGTGTAGAGTTTTGCTAAGAAAAAGCTACTAAGTAGACACTATGTTTCCCAGGCCCCTTTGCATCTGGGTAGGGCCTTGTGATCCCATGCTTGCCTTATAGGATGTGAGAGAATGGGAGACGTGTAATTGAAAAAGCAACTGTACCTTCTCTATCTACTTTTTCCCTCAGAGGGGACTCTGAGATCCTAAAAGTTCACAAAGCTACATGGTGGAAGGAACTTGGGTCCTCACGTTACCCCTTGAAAGCTGCCTGCTAAATAGAACAGTTATATTTTTTGATTATCCAAGCAAAAATTAAGCTTTTGTTGTTAATCAAATTCCTTTGCCTGGTTTTCCCTAAGAACAGAGCTATAAAAAAAACTGTAGGCAGATAGGTTTTTAGGAATTTGTTCAGAGAGCCAGAGTGAGGGGTCAATGAAGCGAGTTAGAGATGGAGAAAAAGGGATTGTAAGGACACATTATTGAGTTGACCCTCACTGCAGACAGTTGGTGCACAATCCCACCAGGTCTTCTGAAGAGGCATATAAATTCATCTCAGAACAGTGTACCTGTGGAAGAGAAGGAGGGAGCATTTATACATCTGCTGTCATCTTCAAGTGGTCAAGAGCTGGTCCCTGGGGCACTGATTCTCTGGCTTCCAGGCTGCATATGATTGCACAGAGTATGTCATGAAAGTGTTCCTTGCCAATCAGTCAGAGATGTCCTAGGTCAGAATTATGGAGGTGCCTAATGCATGTCTGAGGTAAGGTCTTGCTATGTCATGTCTGAATTAGGCCATTTATGACTGACATGGCTGAAATAAGAGGTGAAGTTCAAAGGATTTGAAGTGGTATACAGGAAATATACAGAGTCACTGAAAATGTATAATTGGTTTATTACAGTATCTAGCCTTGCATTAATTAAAATAAGCACATATTACTCTTAGAATTATAAAAGTACACACACACATATTTATATACACATACTTGCTTGGTTTTGCAGAATATCTCAGTATTTTTATGAGATTTACTTCTTTTGATTCACTTTGAAAACGTAACTAACAAGTGAGCCACAATGGGCATCTTTTCCTCCCTACCTATTCAACCACCAAAGCCAATCAATCCCATCTTTTAAGCAGTGATTGGAACTTCCCCTGCTGTCACATCTGTTGACTCTGCTTTAGTTGGGGCCTTCATAAGTGCAGCCATGAATTATTGCTAGAGCTTCCAATCCTCCTATTCATTTTTTCATATCTAAAATTAAATTGAACTGTGGTAAATCCCTGCCTAAAACCTACTTCAAGGGCTCCCCATTGTCATAAAATTCAACCTCTTTATGTGGAATTCTACACACTTCATAATCCAGTCCCAACACAGATATCTAACTTCATCTCCTTCATGCCCTAGGCTACACCTGGCACTTGAGGAAGACAGTAGTAATTCTCTGGAAACCCCAGGACTTGTCATGCCACTCTGATTCTGAGCATGCCTCTCAATACTGGGAATGCTCTCCTTAATTATCCCTCCTAGGGCAGGGATTGGCCAACTGCAACCCCCAGACCAAATTCAACTCATCACTCATGAGCTAAGGATGTTCTTTTTAAAATTATTTGTAAATGATTGAAAGAAATGTTTAAAAGGTAATATTTTGTGACACATGAATAATCATATAACATTTAAATTTCATTGTCCTTAATACAAAATTTCTCAGAATACATCCGTGCTTGCTTATTTGTTCACCTATTGTCTGTGACTTTCTTGGTGCCCTAATGCAGGGGCCCCCAACCCTCAGGCCAAGGACAGGTACAGGTCCATGGCCTGTTAGGAACCAGGCTGCCCAGCAGGAGGTGAGCCGCAGGTGAGCCAGCATTACCACTTGAGCTCTGCCTCCTGTCAGAGCAGTGAGGGGCATTCGATTCTCCTAGGAGCAGGGGGACGAACCCTACTGTGATCTGGGCATGAAAGGGAATCCAATTAATGCCTGATGATCTGAGATGGAACAGTTTCATGCCGAAACCAGCCCCATCTCTTGTCTGTGGAAACATTGGCTTCCACTAAACCAGTCTCTGGTGGCAAAAAGTTTGGGGACTGCACTGCTCTAAAGAGCTGAGTAGTTGTGACAGAGATCTGTAGCCTACAAAGCCCAAAGCATTTATTACCTGGCTTTTTACAGAAAACATGCACTGAGAAGTTCTACTCTTCCTTGTCAAACCTGCCCATGAGGAGCCATTCCAGATCTTTGTGTCCACAACATTTAGTTCTTACCTACAGAAACACACTTCCCCTAATTGCGAACCGTGCATGTACATATCTTCTCCCCAGCCCTGCCTCATCACCTTCTTGGAAGCCAAGATCACGTCTTATTTATCTCTGACTGTCTCCTGGCCACTAACTTAGTGCCAAATACACAGTGGGACTCAGCCAATATGGTTGAATTTGTCCAGTTCTGAGCCCTGCTTCCAGACACCATGGCTTTTTTTTTTTTCTTTTTGGAAAGTAAGTGGTTAACAGCATGGGCTAGGGAGTTTCACTACCTGATTTCATTCTGGGCCTGGAACCTAAAGCTGTGCAGCCTTAGGCAAATTATTTTAACCTCTCTAAGCCTCCCTATCCTCATTGACCAACAAAGATATTGATAGCAACTATTTCATAAGCTTGTTGTGAGAATTACATGCAAATTACTGTTCAACGTGCTAAACACAGTGCGAGTGCATAGTACATTTCCAGTTAATATTAGCTATTATGATGATGTTTGTATAGTTCTTAAAGCTTAAATGAAATCCTGGGGTCTCCTGAGAGACATTGCTGACCAAACAATATCCCCTGCATGCACAGCTCTACGGCATTACTTGTTTTTCAGCTATTTTAATGCACACATTTGTTGTTAAATGAAATGATGTCTTTGTAGAGGCAAGGGAAAAGATCGACTTGAAAACACAGTCTTTTCATTTTATCTAAGAATCTCCCTCAATCTTGTTTTGCCTACATCTATCTTCTTCCCGCTGGGTTTGTTTTCCTTTTCTCTCAGTATTTCTTTCTGCTGGCTATGTCTCTCACTGCTTTCTCAACTAGTTTGATTACTTCATTTTGCTTTTTCATCCCTTTCAGCCTAACTTCCTTCCTCCCCACCTTGGGTGTCTTTCCTTTACTATATATAGATTTTACTTTTTCTCAGCTTTTCTTTCTTTTTTTTTCCTCTCCCTTCACTTTGTGAAATTTTTGTATCTCCCCCCTTCTATTTACCCTCTCTTTCTCTCCCTCTCTCCTATGCGTTTTTACTTTCCACCTCTCATTTTATCTTATGAATCTTCCTTTATCTTCGAAATACAGGCTTTTCTATCTTTATTCTTTCCCTTCTTTCCATCCTATTTTCCTCTCATTTTGCTTTATTTCTGTCATCTCCTTATTATATTCCCTGGCTTTCCTTATTTCTTCTTCTTCCTTGTTTCTGCCTCCTCATGCCACCTACACTGGTTTCTCTCCCTGGGTCCTGTGTGGGGTAGAGCCTGCTCTGGCTTCCAGATGGCCAGTAGATCAACAAAAAGCTATTAGTCCCCTAGCAGAGGAAGAAGTCAAGCTGTTGAGATGCTTGGGGAGCATCTCAAGGCCAGGCAGAAAATGAAGTGGTCAGGAAGGAAGAGGAGGTGATGTTTAATGGAACAAAAATAAAATAGGTGAGAAAAAATGAGATGGAAAAACAGAGATTTACGACACAAGAGAATTTAGTTGGAATGAGACTGTCATCAGATCAGCTGGGGGAAGAGAATGGAAAAACAAGCTTGTTAAAGTGAATTCTTTGTCATAACCATGAGCTTTTTATACTCAACTTGCCTGCTTGGTTTCTCAACACTGTTTTGTTCTTTCACAGCCATTTTGTTTGATCCTTCTCTTCTCACCATACTTCACTATTTACCCAGCCCTGTCTGATTCCCATCTACTGACTGATTTTCTTGAGCACTTTTGAGTTCTAACCAAATACTAGAAATAGATCTAGTATTATAAAAGTTAGAAGTGCAGATTCAGGATTCAGACAGGACATAGAACTGGGCTTCAAAAATCAGGCTGTTTTTGTTATGCAAGAATACCATGAAAATACTTGTATCTATTACTGGGCACAGGTCTTGGAACAGATTAACTTGAATCACAATGCTGTTTCTCCACTGCCAGTTTTGTGATCTTGGTAATTAGTTAACTTTTCTAATCCTATGCATTTTTATCACAGTGATAACAATACTTACTTTCACAGATAGGTTTGAGGTAATGAATAGATGAAATAATTGAGGGCAAGTGCCAGGGGCAGTGCCCAGCATACAGTCAAGATTTTTTAATGTTTACTGGCCCATTATTACCATGTTAATAAATAGACCCACCACTCCTTTATTATAAGTTGAGGCAAGGTTTTCTGGATTACCCTCCCGCTGCCACTCCAGATCAAATGCTCTTTGGTGCTGCACAGATCGCCACATTATTAGACTCACTTTCCTAGGTTGGTGCCCAGGAAACACCATGATTTGTTCAGCAGAAAGATTTGTGTTTTGGTAGACTTCAAAATTGTGTTAAACCTCACCCACCCATCCATTTCCATACCTTCCCCTTCTTCTTGGTTTCTTCTAGGGGAAGGACAAAGGAAAGGTTGAACCATCTTCCAAGAGACCCAGAATACCCCATGAATTCACCACTCCCAGCTTAAATAGCTATCCAGAATTTAACAGACATTAAACACAACTCCCCCCTTCCATCCCGCTGGATGATTTTAGCTCCCAGTGAGAATCTCATCATAAAAACCATTTCTTTCCATCTCTCTTCTTTCCATCACCAACTCCACCATCCCCACAGCCCACCCTTTGGAAACGTTCTTTACAACCACCCTGTGCTTTTAAACCTGGTATTAGGAGGGTACAACCTAGCTGGAAATTTTCAAAGGTAATTTCACTGAGTCTTCCTGAATGCTTCATTTCAATACAAAGGGGCAGCAGCTTGTAAACCAAAGGGACAGAGCAAGGTTTACTGCACACCTTGCCGAACTGGGATGTTGCAGGTGACTCTCAGCAAGTCCCTCTGTTGTACATTACCTCAGTTTCCTTGACAGCACAATGCCAAAGGATCTTTGCAGTTGGTCCTGGCTCCAACATTACACGTTCAGAATTCCAAGCTCTATTCTGGTGAATTCAGATATCCAAAGAGCCTTTGTTTTTACTTCCTGTGTCCGTTACCTGGATACTAGTATATCTAAAAACTTCACCAGTTCTGTCCTGTTTCCCAACTTCAGGATATACAAATTTCAGAAACATGCATGTCCAAAGATGGCTATAGAGAAGAACCACTTTCCTGGGAAATGGTAGCAGCATTGTGTGACAGTGAGTCACACACAACTGGCTCTCTCCAATACCAAGCCACTGAATTTTAAAAATAAAGATGTTGGGTCCTGGCTTAGTGGCTCAGGCCTGTAATCTCAGCACTGTGGGAGGCCAAGGCAGGCTGATCACTTGAGGCCAGGAATTCAAGACCAGCCTGGCCAACATGGTGAAACCTGGTCTCTACAAAAATTAGCCAGGCATGGAGGTAGCCGCCTATAATCTCAGCTATGATGGGAGGCTGTGGCATGAGAATCACTTGAACTCAGGAGGCAGAGGTTGCAGCGAGCCGAGATTGTGTCACTGTACTCCAGCCTAGGGCACCGAGTAAGACTCTGTCAAAAAAAAAAAAAAATGTTGGGGGTACCGTTTCTTCACATTTCAACTGTAAAACAAATTCTGAAAAATGATTTTGCAGAGAAAAAATTAGGGATATGTAACTCGGTTATTTGTCCCTGCCCAAATCTCATATGTAAATATAACCCCCAGTGCTGGACATGGGGCCTGGTGGGAGGTGTTTGGATCATGAGGGTTGATCCCTCATGAATCACTTGGGCCGCCCCCTTGGTGGTAAGTGGGATCTCACTCTGCATTCTCATAAGTTCTGGTTGTTTAAAAGTGTATGGCATCTCTCCCTCTGCTCTTTCTCGCCTGCTCCTGCATTCACCATGTGACATGCCTGCTCCCACTTCGCCTTCCACCTTGAGTAAAAGCTACCTGAGGCCTCCCCAGAAGCCAAGTGACATCAGCACCATGCTTGTACAGCCTGCAAAACTGTAAGCCATTTAAACCTCTTTTATTTCAAACTTACCCCTTCTCAGGTATTTCTTTATAGTAATGCTTGAACAGCCTAAGACAGATAAAGAGATGAGAAAGGGAGAAAGGAGTTTGGGTAACAACATTCTGACAAGCAACCAAGGTAATCCAATGCAGGCATGGGTCTCTCTTCAGTGTATACTTTATTCTGATTGCCTCTTTTAGCTAGGAATTGTAATTTCATCAGATGAGCTTCTCACATGTTGAAAAGTAGATACCTGTTGTAATGCTGACTGCATATCTCCAAATGAAACACTAGGCAATGAAAAGGAAAACATGGTTATAAACAAAGAGACTCAATTATAGCAAATAATTTTATGTCCTAGAAGGAAAAATATATTTAAGGTGATAAAGAGAAGCCAGAGAGGGGTGGTTAATAAAATTTAAGAAAAGAAAGAAATAGGAGAGGGATCTTACAAGGTAAAAATTGTGGTATAATAGAAAAGAGCATTGGATTGGGAATAAAGAGACATGGCATCTAATCGAAATGGCACAAACTACCTCATGATGCTGTGAGCCTCTATGAACCTCAGTAGACTCATGTGTGAAATAGGGAAACAAACAGCTTTTCCTATCCTTCCCGTGATAAAAAGTTGCTGAGAGAATCAAATGAGATCAGAGCAATAGAGGTGCTTTGTTAACTGTACCCACCTAAGGAATATTTTTATTATAAAATGTTGAATTCATTCTAAGTTTATTAAGAGTGGTGCATCCCAGAGAGTCAGGCTCTCAGATTTTAAATGAAATCACAACCTGTGAATGGGTCTTCTTAATCTTCTTCATGTGACAGTCTTCCTTTTGCCTGAGCAAAAGACTCTGGAGGACTAAAAGTCACCAGGTTGGATGTGAACTAATGGAGAGACCTAAGGCACTCCCTCTGGTTTTCTCTGCTTTATGGGCATTGCTCAGGAGGAGGCATGGGTTTGCTCTTCAGGCAATCCAAGGAATTGATCATCCTGCTTCTCTTCTGTGCTGGTCTAGAGCCTTTATTGATAAACAGAGACATGGCCTTTCTTCCCATCTGACAGTAGAAAAATTATTTATAATACAGTCAGAGTGTGATAAATACCATTTGAAGTAATGTTCTCCAGTGACCTCACTTTACTGGGAGCCCCTGCCAACCATTTTTAATAATGTGACTATATACACATATTTCTCACTGCTGATTGAATTAAACAGAGATGCCTGATCAAAACTGGTCTAGTTATAGTTTCTTCCTGAGAGTTTGGGAGATAATTTTGGGTTATTAGAACTTAAATCCAGATTTTATGATGACATGGGTATCTTTCCCTTTCTTATTCTTTCTAAGTGGACTGAAAAAGTGAGGAAAGTTACTAGTCTGGGAGAAGATTAAACAGATCAAGATAAAATTAACGTGTTTTTTTTTTTTTTTACCTGAGTCCCAGTATCATGCTGTCTCAGTTGTATCTTTACTTCAAGGAAACATGACTCTCTTTTATGCTTATAATGAGGCTTCTTTTTCTTTGAGTTATTTAGAATTAGTTGCTGTGTCTTGAAGCCAAATATATAATTTATTCACAAATTCATATTGATTATATGTGAAGAGATCTGAGATTAGGAGTAAGCAGCAAGAGTTCTAGTCTTGACTCTCACGTAATATTTACAATATGTGTTAGGCCATTCTTGTATTTCTATAAACAAATACCTGAGACTGTGTAATTTACAAAGAACAGAAGTTTAACTGGGTTATGGTTTTGCAAGTTGTGCAAGCATGGCACAGGTATCTGCTCTGGTTCTCAGGAGGCTTCAGGGAGCTTTTACTTATGGCAGAAGCTGAAGCCACAGCAGGTATCTCACGTGGCAGAGCAGGAACAAGGGGTTGAGGGGAGGTGCCACACACTTTTAAATGACTGGACCATGTGAAAACTCACTTTGGTGAGGACAGCACCAAACTATAAGAGATCCTTCCCCATGACTCAAACTCCTCCCACCAGACCCCACCTCCAACACTGGGGATCACAATTTAACATGACATTTGAGCAAGAGATATATCCAAACTATACCATTATACTCCCTGTACCCCCAAATCTCATCCTTCTCCCATTATAAAGTAGAATCATACCTTCCTCCATAGTCTTAAATCATTCCAGAATTCGTTCAAAAGTCCAAAGTCTCATTCGAGACAAGGTAAATTCCTTCCACCTATGAGCTTGTAAAATCAAAAACAAGTTAGCTACTTCCCTGATGCATTGGTGGTACATGCATTGGGTAAACATTCCTGTGCCAAAAGGGAGAAATTGGCCACAAGAAAGGGGCTATAGGTCCCATGCAAATTTGAATCCCAGGGTAGTCATTACATCTTAAAGCTCCAAAATAATCTCTTTTGACTTAATGTCCCACATCCAGGGTACACTGGTGCAAAGGGTGAGCTCTCAAGGCCTTGGGCAGCTCCACCCCTGTGGTTTTGCAGGGTTCAGCCCTTGCAGCTGCTCTCACAGGTGCCTAAAGATTTTTCCAAGCACAGGGTGCAGACTGCCAGTGGATCTACCATTTTGGGGTCTGGAGGAAAGTGGCCCCCTTCTCACAGCTCTACTAGGCAGTGCCCCAGTGATGACTCTGTGTCAGGGTTCCAAGCTCACATTTCTCCTCCAGACTACCCTAATAGAGGTTATCAGTGAGAGCCTGCATTTGCAGCAGGCTTCTGTTTGGGCACCCAGGGTTTCTCATACATCCTCTGATATCTAAGCAGAGGTTGCCAAACTCCATTCACTCTTGCATTTTATGGACTGGCAGACTTAATATTACATGGAAGCTACCAAGACTTATGGTGGTTTGCCTTTTCCAAAGCAGCAGCCCTAGCTGTACTGGAGCCCTTTGAGCCACAGATGAAGCTGAAGCTGCCTGGATGCAGGGAGCAGTGTCTCAAGGCTGTGCAGGCCAGCACCACCCTGGCCCTGGTCCACAAAACCATTTAGTCCTCCTAGGCCTCCAGGCTTGTGATGGAAGGGAGTGCCTCAGATATCTTTGAAATGCCTTCAAGGCCTTTTTGCCATATATGTGGCTATCAGCACCTAGCTTTTGTATTGCATAAATCTTATAGTAAGTGGTTGCTCCACAGCCTGCAAGAATTCCTCTCCTGAAGAAGTTTTCTCTTTCTCTGCCATATGACAAGGCTGCAAAATTTCCAAACTTGTACACTCTTCTTTTCCCTTAAATATACCTTCCAACTTAAGTCATTTATTTGCTTCCACATCTGAGTGTATGTTGTCAGAAGCAGCCTTGCCACTTCTTAAATACTCTGCTCCTTAGAAATTTCTTCCATCACATACCGTAAATCATCACTTTCAAGTTCAAATTTTCACAGATTCCCTAGGGCATAGGCAGAATGCAGCCAAGCTCTTTGCTAGTCAAGCTGTTTGCTAAGGCATAACAAGGGTGACCTTTACTCCAGTTCCCAGTAACTTTCTTATTTCTGTCTGAGATTTCATCAGCCTGACCTTCACTGTCCATATTATTATCAGTATTTTGGTCACAACCATTTAACCAGTCTCTAAGAGGTTCCAAGCTTCCCCTCATCTTCTTATCTTCTCCTGAACCTTCCAAACTCTTCCAGCTTCCCATTTTCTAGTTCCAAAATTGTTTCCACATTTTCAGGTATCTTTATAGCAATGTGCTACTCCTCAGTACTAATTTTCTGTATTAGGCCATTCTTGCATTACTACAGAGAAATGCCTGAGACTGGGCAATTTATAAAAAAAAGAGATGTCATTGGCTCATGGTTCTGCAAGCTGTGCTAGCATGGAACAGGCATCTTCTTGGTTTCTGAAGAGGTCTCAGGGAGGTTTTGCTCATCGGGAAAGGTAAAAGTAGGGGTAAGCACGTCACATGGCAAAAGCAGGAGTAAGAGAGAAAGTGGGTGGGGAGGTGCCA